GTGACTTATATTTTTAAGTTTTTTAAAAGAATCAAATAAGTTAGGTACGGAAAATGATGGTTGCACTTAAAATATAAATATAACAGAGGTAGTAGAGGCTAAAGTTTTTTTTTAAAAAAACCAATTTTTCTCGCTTGATTCCAAAATATAAGGTAACCACCATTAACGCAAATACCAACAAAGAATTTAATTACCTCCTTAGTTGGATCACCGCTATGCATGCAAGTAATATGAGGGGTTGATGACTTGATGGTAGAGGATTGAAAACAAAGCATATTTAGAGAATAAAGATGTGTTAGTTAAAAAACACATGCATATACGTCTTATATCGTAATATATGGAGAAAAAATGGTTGTATTAATTTTTTGATGGAGAAAGTATGAACTATGGATCATATATATAGTACGCTTACGGAATTAATAAACGATACAATTTACCCAATAATTTTTCTTTATCAGCATTTCATATATGTATTTCATGCTTAATTACCTGGGCCTGGAAATCGAGCGGATACAGAAAGCCCATCAGCGGCGCGCGCTCCGGATGCGTCGCGTTGCACGATGCCGTCGTCACCACCTGCAGCGAGTCGTTCGAGACGGCCACGTCGACGGTGTTCCCCTGGACGGCGGCGGGGAAGATCGTGCCGATCGGCGTCTCGCCGCCGTCGCTGGTGACGACGGCGACCATGCGGTTGCCGACGCAACCGGAAGAGATGAACTGGCACCTGATGTCCTGCCGCGTCCGTGTCGCCGCGGAGGCGAAACCGAAGAGCGCACCGAGAAGAAAGAGGCAAGAAAGGAGGCGCCGCTCCGCTCCGAGCGGCGGCGGCGCAACCACGCCCTCCGTCCTCCTCTTCCTCCTATCTCCGCCGGCCATAGCTGCGCGGCTCGGCGCCGGCGGACGGCGGGTGTGAATTATTGCTCGATCGTTGCGGGGAGTACTGTGCGGTGTAGGCGTAGAGAAGCAGCTGTTGCCTTGCTCGTATATATAGCAGCAGCGACGGTTCATCCAGAAATTTCGTTGCATAAGCTAGCTACTCCCTCCGTCCCAATATATGGTGGTGTTTAGATGCAGGACTAAATTTTCGTTCCTGTCACATCGGATGTCTAGACACTAATTAGAATTATTAAACGTAAACTAATAACAAAACTAATTGCATAAATGAAAACAAATTCGCGAGACAAATTTTTTAAGCCTAATTAATCCATAATTAGCACATGTCAATACTATAGTATCACATAGTCTAATCACGGATTAATTAGGCTCAATAGATTCGTCTTGCGAATTAGTTTAGGTTATAAAATAAGTTTTGTCATTAGTCTGTGTTTAATACTTCTAATTAATATCCACATCCGATGTGACAGGAACTAGATGGAGGAAAAATATTTTTACGACAGATCGGCAGAGTCTTAAAAAAAAGATAAACAAAAGACATTGAAAGGGCACATCTTAGTTGCTGGGGATGAACCAGCTTACACAGATAACATAACTGCTTCTGCAAGGATGAAAACAAGGGATGAAAACGGTCAGAAGCGGTCGGAAAAACCCTATTATCATTTTCATTTTCATATTGTTTTTCTTGAAAACGGAATCGGAATGGTAGACCCGAAAACGGTAACGATATAGATAATATTGGTATATCGGAAATGGGACCATTGGAACATAATCTACCGATATTGGTCGGAAGTCAAAAATTCATGACGGAATTAGCGGAGTGTGGCATAGCACACATTTAACTATGCACGAAGATGACTTTATAAATTCATTTTTACATCATCACCCTCCATATAACACCGTTATATTATTAATGATAATAAGTTTGACGAACAATATAAACAAATTTCAACAATAATTCAACATCGATAAGTTGAAGAGATCAAAGTTTAGCAAAATCCACATGCCATGTCCTAGGGTTAACAGTGTTTTCCCAGGTCACTTTCCCTTTATAATAGGCTGCAAGCCTACCAAGTTTCCTTCATTTATGGGCTTCCGATGGGATGAGCTATTTAAGCCGCTAGGGAGCTTTTGGAATTTTGGCGAAAATTACAATACAAATATTGTTACCGACAAAACGGTTGGAAAACCTCCATCCCATTTCCGTTACCATTTCCAAAGATATAACCGTTTCCATTTCCAACACCATCGGTTACTGCTACCGACTAAAACGTTTGGTGCAAACTGAAAACGATAGCTAGAAATCTTGGAAATTTACGTATCATTTTCACCCCTAAAGAAAACATCTAACCCATTTGAGCATAAACAAACAACTGCTTGAGAGAAACGCTAGAAAACTAGATCGATATCGGCAGACACAGATGCTTCACTTGCACTAGTTTGTCCAGCACAGCTTCACACCACAAGCTAGTAGAAAGAAGAACCCAGTCATTTCTTGTTAACCAAAGAGCCCAGCACAAGCTAGTAGAAAGAAGAACCCAAACTGTAGAGACCCCCTTTCCCCTCACAAGTTAATGCATTCCCACAGATTTCTGGGCATAGACTGTAATTGTAAAGCTTCTTTCATCGCACACCAAGAAAACACAGCTAAAGAGCATCTAAACATGATATGGTTAGTGGTTCCAGTTTTTGCATAAAGTTGGCAAAACTTATCCCTCCCCCCTCCCCCAACACCCCCTCTTCCATTTTCTTTTCACTAGCTGCTCAGTACAAATAGGTCTACCTCGCCCAACTAAATGAATGAAATGTTTTATCTTCAGTGGTATCCTGCTCTTCCATACCTCTCCCATTTCAACATCTTTGACCCCCCCTCCCAAAAAAAAAAGATTCTATACATTGATCCGGTAGTAAACAGACCTTTCTCAGTGTGAGACCAGCACACTCTATCCCTTCCCTCCTCCAACTGAATGTCCCCCACTAGTTCCATTAGCTCCCCCATCTCCCAAGGGATGGAGGAAATACCATGATCATACCAATTTTGTATTAAAAATATTATATCGGTTTCATCCCTAAGAAAAATAACAGGGCAATAGAGATCTTTTGAAAAGAGGTGAACAGGAGATGGAGATGACGACGGCGATCGAGTCTCCGGCTCACGGTCGGTGGTGGACAGGAAACAGATTTTACTACTCGACCAACGAAACGTACGGCCGGTGTGCGCGCGTTCGCGTGGAAATTTGCTCACGCCCAACGTGCCAAAACAAAGCAGTTGGGAAAGTATGAAAGTAGTAGAGCCATTCGCACTTGCAGAATTTTTCACACGCTCCCAGGCGATGGATAAATACGTAGTATGTCCTAACGTACGGGCCCCTTGATTTTGAAGGCAGATTTGCTACTCCACACGTACCCGCGCGTTTTAATCTATGACCACAAATCGATTTCTTTGCTTTCGTTAATGAAATCTAACCCGGCCGAATCGCTTCTGTGGCAAGTAGATTCTAATCTCCTAAGTGGACATCTATCTAATCTATTGTACTCCCTCATTTTCATATTATAAGTGTTTTGATTTTTTTAATCAAAATTTTAAAGTTTGACTAAATTTACATGAAAAATTAGCAATATTAAAACACTAAATTAATTTTATTAAATTTAGCATTGAATATATTTTCATAATATGTTTGTTTTGGGTTGAAAATACTACTCCCTTCGTTTTAAGTTATAAGACGCTTTGACTTTGGTAAAAGTAAAACTGTTTTAAGTTTATTATGAAAATATATTCAATTATTGATTTGATGACACTAATTTAGTATTATAAATATTACTATATTTGTCTATAAATTTAGTCAAACTTAAAACAGTTTAACTTTGACCAAAGTCAAAACGTTTTATAACTTTAAACAGAGGGAGTACTATATTTTTCTCTGTAGACTTAGACAAACTTATATGAAATATATTTTTCTGTACTATATTTTTCTTAGACAAACGTATAGGAGAAACGTCTTATATTTTTCTGTACTATATATTTTTCAAAATGACTTATAATATAAAATGAAGGGAGTATATATATGAACTAAATAGTTATAAAAGTATTTTTTTAAAAAATTGACAAGATAGACTAACATCTAACATATCACTCTATAAGTTCAAATTTAGCTTCTATAAGTTACAACAAAAACTTATATAACAAACATAAGAAATTAAACTCTAACTAACATACAAATATTCATGGTGAAATTAATTTCTTATGATTTATTGAAGTTGAATTTGAACTTATGTGTTTATGGAGTGATACATTGCAATATTGATTTATCTTTTAGTTTTCACTAAAAAGTTTCATAGCCATTTAATTTACATACAATAAACATGTAGACATCCACTATAATGATTAATAAACGAGTTTTCCCTGCTTAATTAATGGGTAATACAAAGTAGAATTTTTTATTCAGAAAAAAAATTAATGATGCAGGCATGCATATGGTGGCCCTCATGGTGTTATCACGCACGCGCGTGCTAGTCAATAAGTATTAATCACGGTCAGAAATGGTTTCTCTAAGCTTTTGAACGCCCGTGCATTCCACACGCCATGACGCCACCATTATATTACTAGCTGGACACATTGTCATGCGCAGGGAAGATGGTGCGGCTGAGCTGTGCTAAGCTGCGAAGCTCGAGTAGTGCTGGTGACCACTGACAGCGAGTATAACATTACAGCTCACTTTCTAATATTAGCGTATCTTAAAGCCAACGTATAGTAATATATATGTTATAAGATTAGCTTCAATTTTTCTTCTCCTCAATCTCTCACTTATACATTTAATGTATTTATCTTAGAGCATGTGTTAAACTAGCTCTTGCATGAGAGCTAACACTTTTTATTTTTTTCTTATCGCTCTCCTCCATATAAGCTTATGGTAGACTTATAGCCCACTATTATCCTTGCTCTGAGCATCCCTCTCCTATTTGGTCAAATTTAAACAAGTTTGACTAGAAAAAAGTCCAACAACTTATAATATGAAACGGAGGGAGTAGCTCTGAAGCTGCTGCTGATCTCCATCTTCAAATTAATTCAGAATGTTCCTCTTGTGCCTGTCATCATCTCCACAAGATTTGAAATACCGGGGGTCTATCACCATCTGCACAAGTCTTGGGCATAAGATGGTCCTGGCTTAGTTAGCTTACAAAATGCAAACGCACACTTTATTTTGAGCAGAAATTTCATAGACACAGTTGAGCTCATATGCATACTTTACAGATGATGGGCACAACAACGTTTTCTACTGACTGTCAGCCTGACCACTACGAAACGGCTGCTCCAGGTCTTGCAGCTTCGAGCAGTGCCTGATGTCCACATTCTTTATCCCTGCAATCGACTCTGATCCTCCAACTGTAACCAGTCCCTGGCAACAGACGATCTTCAAGTTCTCTATTGACCAGAGGCCACTCCAGATTTGTGCAGAAATGGACTCGATGCTCGGACAAAACCGCAAATTCAGAATGGTAAGAGCGGTGAGGTTGTGCAGGCAGCTGAGCGTCGAATCGGAGAACTCCCCACATGCTTCCAGCTTGAGCGATTTCAAAGAGGGTGGCAAGGCCAAGCCTGGCTCCCAATTGAGATTCCAACAATGGCAGATCTCCAGATCTTCCAGATGAACAAAATGCACAAGGTTGTTGGTTGGCAGTGACGCTAATTCCTCGCAATTTGAGATCTGTATTACCTTGATCATTGGCAGACATTCTGGTTGTAGGAAATTATCAAGGCTCGTTAGACTTCTGCACCAGGTAATGGATAGCTTGGTAAGTGATTGGAAACTAACTGAGCTGCTTCTGCTGCTGCCCGTTTCGGAGGGTTCGATCAAGAACAGTGTTGTAGTGTTAGGGCAGGAGTTGATAGAGAGTGATGCCAAGCTGCTCAGCTCATCATGGCGAAGCCACATTGGACTCAATCCATCTCCCATGTAAAACTTCACTTCTAGATGCTTGATATTTGAGCTAGGCCGTAGAGCTTCAAGCACTTCCATCTCCTTGGTGCTGTTATGCTTCTGAGGCCTAATTGACTCGTGCCATTTCAGAACCAATGTGTCGAGGTAAATCTTCTTGGCTAGCTCAGCTCCAGCAACTTCCTCCCGGCTCGTCACGTTGCGAAGGCCGTCGATCTCCAATCCTCCATGAAGGTGGTTCATGTTCTTCAGCTCCTGAATTCCCCTTCCGGGCTTGTCATCAACAGCGTAGTAAGGCATGTTTTGAAGGAGAGTGAGCTTACCTACTTCGGGCACACGTCCAAGTTGGCTGATAAGATCATCCTTCAGTCTAAGCCTCTGCAAGTTTACTAACTTGATGATATCCTTGGGGACAGCATGAAGTGTGCAGTTCTGAGCATCTAAGATTTCCAGCTTGTAAAGACGGCAAAACAAATCAGTCGGCAGCTTGTCAAAGTCGCAAGCAGAAATGTCAAGATAGCGAAGATGTATTAGTTTGCCAACATTGCAAGGGAGCTCCTTCAGCCGGCACGATATGAATCTCAGCATTCGAATGCGAGTGAGATGATCGAACCATGTTTCAAGTACAGAATTAGTAATAATATCGCAGCCAACGCCGATGCACACAATTGACCGCAGCGTCTTGTATGTGTTCAGGCACTCGATATCAGTGCTGCTGAGTTCACCGTTGCCGAGAATTGACACATGACGCACTTTAGGAGGAATTCTCGACATGCCGCATCTAGACTTGATCATGAAGCAATCATTCCTTGCAACATACTGTGCCATATCATGTAATAAATCATGTATGACATATCTGGAAGATGTTGGAGATCTCTGAAAGAAAGATCGACTCACAAGTTGGTTGAAGTACACATGTCCAATATCTACTGCAAGAATGCTCCTAGAAGGCATCACGAAGCCCACTGCCACCCAGCTATCCACAAGTGTCTCTGCGTCAAACTCATAACCCCTGGGGTACAGAGAACAGAAGGAGAAGCAACGCTTCAAATGGAAGGGCAGATATTGGTAGCTCAACTGAAGGGCTGTGAAAATGCTGGCTTCCTCCTGGTGAGGCCATCCCCACAATTCACTTTCCAATATGATTTTCCAGTATTTAGCATCCAGTTTCAGACTTAATAGCCGTCCGATAATTTTAATACCCAGAGAAGAACCATCTAACCTTGCAACTATGCTTCTGCCAATAGGCTCTAGCACTGCATTGCTGTTGGAATTACGAGAACCAAATGTAAGCATCCTAAAGAATTCCCAGATAGTTTCTTCAGGTAAGCCCTCCAAAAACATGTGCTTCAGCGTGCCAACACGCTCAGCAACCCTATGATATCTTGTCGTGACCAAAACCATGCTTCCTGATCTAGCATATTTTAGTGGGGCAAGGAAATTTTTCCATCCATGGCAATCTTCTCGGCATGCATCCGTCTGCACATCATCAAGTACAAGCAGGACTCTCCTTGTGTGATGAATGATGCCATTAGTTAGAATTCTCTGGAGACAACCTAAATCATCCGTTTTCATCTCATTTTCGGCAACAGACCATGCCAGCCTCTTCATCAGCTTCTTCTCATCAAAGCCATCCGAGACACATATCCAAATCAGAAGGTCAAAATGATCCCGGACTCTCCTCTCATTGAAAACAAGAATTGCTAGTGTTGTCTTCCCCACACCACCACTTCCTACTATTGGCAAAACAGAAACGTTTTCCAATTTCGCTCTCTTGGAGTCAGATACTGCATGTACCTCAGTGACTTGCTTATCAGTTGGACTGTTCTCTTGCAAAACAATCAACTCAATCAATTCCGACATCTCTTTCTGACGCCCAAAGATTGTTTGCTCCTCTCCGAAAAGATCGTCTTCTCGGTTGATTGACTCAATAATAAACTGCTGCCGTTCATCATACAAGCCCAGCTGTTCCATTTGTCTTACGAGATGTTCGAGCTTTCCTTGGATTTTATCAATTTTTGTTTCATGATAATCTTGGACATGAAATAGAATTGCATGACCCTCGACTTTATTCTGGAGTTCATGGTAATTGATCTCATCCAACAGGTCCTCTGCACAGTTTACTGCATCTTTAGCATCCTGCAGGACCTGGGCAAAGACGTCCTTGTGGAACCACCATTCAGCATGTTTGATAAAAGTGTGCATTTCAGTGAGAGTCCTCTGAAGCACCTGCCGTTTGTCCTGCACCGCCCACTGTTTGTCTCTGTGGAGACGTAAATTGGTATCATCAGACTGCTGCATGGGCCAATCACATTTGAGCTGTACAGCATCGGTTTCCATTTTCATTTCCGGTGTGGTGCAGCTGAGTGGCTCCATTCTACTATGGCTCTCTGCAATGAAAGACAATAGCAACTTAATTACACATGGAAAAATAAAATCCAAGGAAAATAACAATAAGTTATCACGTTCATTACATACTCTTCGAGTTGAACGTTTGAACTGTCAAGTCAAAAGTTGGGGTGGTTGCCAGAAATTTCGCCAAAAAATACCCATTTCTTAGCCGCATAGTTTATGACATAACTGTAATAATACGGTAGAAAATGCAGATAATCTACACCATTCTATCAACTAGTAGGAGACTTTCTGGGATTTTTGTGTCAATGACCAGACTTATTACGCACCTATTATCCTTTCCGATACAAATTCGACCATACCCCTCTTACTGACTTACATCTTAAGAGGTGATCATATTCACTTCTTTGGTGTATTTTTATGTTCAGTAAACACACTATGTGCTGAAATCCATTAGTCATGGCACATACGTTTGCACAGCTTACATACAGAAAGCCCCGAGTTCGCTGTTTTAGCATGAACACCAGTTGCAGAATTGTAGTAAAATACATAAGTACCAGATGGAATTTCGCATTGAGTACACCTAATGACGAACAGTGTGGTACCATGCAGAAGACATTGAGTTGATCAAGTGCAAAACTTATTTAACTTCCTCGTTTACTTCGGGTTGGGTAAAACAGCATAATATGTAGACCTTCATTACAATTTTTCCTAAAATTTCGTTCTCAAGCGCTCTTGTAGTTGTATGCTTGTAGCAGCCGACTCATTATTGTTCTCTATGCCATTGACCACTGTAAACACAAGTAGCAATTCAAGTTTCTGAACAAAATTGATTTAGAAAAACTCCCCTATGTAGATGCAAACTAAGCCCAAATGATGGTCGTACAGAAGGATTTTCGTTCTTTCGTCATACACAAGAATCAGTAGAAGCAGGCATGAACAAGATATCAGGAGGGAAAAAAATGTGCTTGGCCATACTGAGAAACACAAAGTAAATCTACCAGAATTATAGAGTAAAAACACTTGTGACTATAGGCTTGAAATCATTCGGGAAAGCGAAATCATCCCTTGAGGGGATATCCCCTCGTTTCGTGCATATATCACCTAAATAGTCATAAAAAATATAAAAAAAAATTGGCAATATAGATTGATATGAAATATATCACTACACAAACATGCAAGTTTAAATTCAACTTCTACAAGTTGTAACAAAAATAACAAATATAGTTGCGAATGTGCGATAACTATTTTCAGCTTAGTTTGTTATTTTTATTGCAACTTGTAGAAGTTGAATTTGATCTTGTATGTTTGTGGAGTGATATGTTTCGTATTAATCTATGTTGTTATTTTTTTTTCAAATTTTTTGATAACTATTTAGATGACATGCAAACAACGAGGGGAGGGGATGTCCCCTCGAGGGATGAAAATCCACATCCAAATCATTCATGCAAATGGTAGTACAATACCTGTAACGGCGGCTGGCACCTTGCCAGGGTCGTCAACAACATCGTGTTCGGGCGAGAGGCATTCGTAGGTAACGTTGGAGACGACGGCCGCGAGGATCGTGACATGTCCTCTAGCGCGGAGGGCGCCGACGACGTTGCCGCCGATGACCTGGCCCTGCCCGCCGGCGAGGAGGGCCTTGAGCCCCGTGGCGTTGGCCAGGCTCGGCGGCGGCATAAATGCTCCGGAGAGGGACAGGATCTCCAATGGGCCGGAGAGCTCGATGACGGAGCCAGGCTCGCCGGGCTGGCGCAGCGAGGCGCTGGAGACGGCGCCGCTGCCGGATAGCACTCACACCCAGCTCTGCCGGCGGCGCGCGAAATCAGCCACGGCTTCGGCGACATCCTCGCCGTCCGCAATCTCCATCATATGCGACCGCATCGTGTTGGTGCTTTCCCGCGCGACGATGACGGGCGGCTCCGGTTTTTCCTTCGATCTCCTCGGCATCCTCCTCCCACGCGACCACATCGGAAACGACTCCCCGTCCCGCAAGGCCCAGGCGAGGATGTCGTCGACAGCACCGGAGTGCTGCTGGACCTCGCCGAGGTCCGCGTCGCCCTTGCTCTCCGGCGATCCGTCAATCCCGTTCCAGCAAGGGGATGGTTGACTAGGGCTAGCCTCATTGGTGTAGATTGGGCAGGGGACAAGGAAGAAAGGGGACGGAATTGACGACAGCAAGCAAGCAACTGTAGCTGCATCCGATCGATGAAAAACTGTAGTACTACTAGCTTTCCTGTTCCTGTGCAGTCAATCAGACTACCCACCAGTCACCCCTTCTCATTTCATATAGGGCCTATTACTATCCAAAAAAAAACCCAAAATCATACGATTTTTCTATAGTTAAATCACTTTGAGATTGTATACCGCTACAATAACTCGCCTTTATCCCTCTCCATCGTAGTTAAATCGCTGTGTGATTGTATACAGCTACAATAACTCGCCTTTATCCCTCTCCATCGTACTTAAATCGCTTTGAGATTGTATACAGCTACAATAACTAGCCTTTATCCCTCTCCATCGTACACTCCACTTGAGCCGGCCCGTATCGTTGTCAACACTGTGACCATACCGACTTCCTCCCTCAAGCTAGGTGATGGCGAGGTGCCCCCGTCCTACTGAATTCCTAGTCTTAGACGACTCCTCGTAGCCAAAGACTTCACAACCGTCCTACCTTCTAACGGGTTAGGATCCCATATCCTTGCTACCAAACCTGCATAAATTTTGACAATTTGACTCTTTGCAAAAAAAACTATTTTTACAAATGAACCGTGTCCAAAACTTATTTAAAAAATGACCATTTTGTTCAGCGCCAAATTATATGGCATTGAACTTATACACCTCAGAGCCAAATAGCATGGCGCTAAATGCACGTTGGCACGCCGACTCAACCTCCCATCCGCGGTGGCACGGCATTCAGCACCAGTTGACGTGGCGCTGAGGTGTCTAAGTTCCATACGATATGGCACTGAAAAAAAGGATCATTTCTAAAATAAGTTTTGACCATGGTTCGTTTGTAAAATTAGTTTTTGTAAAGGGTCAAATTGTTAAAATTTGTGACGGGACCTGCCCGTTCTACCACCCATTGTCGGGGCACCATCTCCCATGGCCATCCTCTAACCCGGTGAAATTCCCCTCTTTCCCCTCCCTCACACTTCTCCCATCCCTGACTACAATCCTAAACCTATACTCTAGCCAACTGTTTGGGTCGGTTACGGCTTGCCAAAGTTAGAGGATAAAGAGCCTGGCAGGGATCTTGGCGCGGATACGATGATGGAGACTCTGTAAGAAATCCCCTAGAAATATGTTGAATGAAGATTAGCAAATCCATTTTACTTTACATACTAGAAGAAAAGTATGCTTTTCATCTCTCAATTATATGACATTGGTACACAAACTATGCAAAACCGTTCATTTTTTATCCTCAACCAATCCACAGCAGTTTTCATGTGACAAGGCAGTCACATGGTGGTCCTCTAGACAACTAATACACATGAGACACGGCATTCTTTTTAGGATTTGTTAATCTTCATTTAACATATTTCTAGGGGATTTCTAATAGAGTCTCCATCACCGTATCCACGCCAAGATCCCTGCCAGGCTCTTTATCCTCTAACAAAAAAAAATCATCCCTAAATCTTGCATATTTTGGACTAGATTTGCTTCGTGCATCGTGCTCCAATGACTTGCTCTTCTACGAAGCCAACAACACCCCAAACTCCATCAAAGAATCTATGGATTAAGGTCCTAGGTTGTAATCAGGGTGGGAGGGGGAAGATAAAAGTGTTTGCTAGTCTTAGAAGGATGGGCGTGGGATGCGATGGCCCCGCAGTACGTGGTGGAACAGGTGAGTGGGAGGCGGACGTGGCGATGATGAAGCCGCATGTTTGTAGCAGGTGGTGGCCTAGTATTGGCAATGGGGGAAAAGCGAAACAACTAGTTAGAAGGAGATCGTCGGTGGTGGCGGATTTGGAGCTCGAAATCAACAGAGATAGGGAAGATGGCAGGAACGGGGCACCTTACCACCGCTGTCTTGAGAGGGAGGAGAGGGGGTAAGGAGGGAGAAAGGAGGGGGAAGGCCTTTGCTGGCTTCGCTGGCTCGGTGATGGCTGGGCATCAAGCACTTGTTCTTACGAGTTTTGGCGGTTGTGGGAGTGAGGAGGGAGGAGAGGAGGGGTTAGGGCGCACTGCACGAATCTCAAAAACGATTCAATGGTCTAAAATTCACAAGATTTCGTAAAGTGTTTTTTTGTCAAATGACAAATAGAAACTCCCTTCATTTTTTTTTCACAATTCCATCTTCCCAAACCCGTTCTCCTCCCGTCTCAATCTGGACTTCACCTAGCAAGAAGCATAGGTTGGTGTTACATCCCCAACATTCGTGTTTGCTGGTATTCTTTTTTGTTGGTTGGTGTTTTATTGGATTTAAAAGTTGAGGGCTTTTTAATACCTTTTCTAGAAGAGTATATATATGAAAGTGAAATCGTGCAAGCTAAGTTTTTTTATAGCCAAATTCCAATCTTTTTTGTTGTTTTCTATTTGTATTATTATGCTAGTGGAATCTGATGAACCCCATTAAGCAATCTTTATGTACGGTTTCACTTTGCAGAGAATTATTTTCAATAATGAGAAGATTTATTATTATTGTGGTGGTTCAGAAGCAATGTATTCTTACATAGATAGTGACAAGGTTTCATTCCTTAAAAGTAGTTGGACACCTAAGAGGCCATTACTACATTAATGGATGTAACTACACAGCTAGTGGTAGCTGGTTTGTCTAAACCAGCTACCACTCTATCTATAAGAGGCACCATCCACCTATACTTCAAATACAATTTTCTCTTAAACTACTCATCCGATTTACGATCCGATTACACCGTTGTGTTCATAACAATTAAATCTTTACAACAAGATCTCACATGATTATATTTTGATGAAAAATCACAAATTACTTTTATGATATGTCTAAATTACTTTTAGATTTCACTAAGTTACTTCTTAGATATATAAAAATAAATTCAGTAAAACCTAAAAGTAATTTACATATATTATAGAAGTAACTTAAAATAAAACGAAGGTAACTTTAGCATGTCATTTGAAGTAAATCCGTTGTAAAGATAAAAACATGACTCTATCTAGAAATTAAATTAACCAGCACAAATTATGGAATTAACTAAAATAATAATAAAAGTAATCACCTCAGAGCATTATGAATGTATAGGAAGTATTTTAATCAAATCTAAAAGTAACTTTTATTATATATATATATATATATATATATATATATATATATATATATATATATATATATATATATATATGAAAAAATGCATTAATTAAAGTTACTTTCGTTTTGTTATAAGTTACTTCTATAATATATGTAAATTACTTTTAGGCTTTACTGAATTTACTTTTATATGTCTAAGAAGTAACTTAGTGAAATCTAAAAGTAATTTAGACATATCATAAAAGTAATTTATGATTTTTCATCAAACTATAATCATGTGAGATCTTGTTGTAAAGATTTAATTATTACGAACACAACGGTGTAATCGGATTGTAAATCGGATGAGTAATTTAAGAGAAAATTTTATTTGAAGCATAGATGATAGGAATATTTCCCCTACTTGCTCAATGGATTAATAGCAACCAAAACTCCTAAAGTATTAGTACGTGGGTGTATCTGGTTAAGACTAATTGGAGAGGCCTCTTCAATTAGATTTACCGTACATTAATACTTCCTCCGTTTCACAATTTAAATCATTCTAACATTTCTCACATTCATATTGATGGTAATGAATTTAGATAGATATATATGTCTAGATTCATTAACATTAATATGAATGTGAGAAATGATAGAATGACTTAAATTGTGAAACGGAGGGAGTAATTAGTACAGGTAAAGCACATTGCTTCATTGGTTGTTTCTAGGGAAAAGAAAAGGTGTCTCAGATCAAGAAGAATTTGATGAAACACGAAAAGTAGATGGAAGGAACTATGAATTAAAATGAAGGCAACACTTCAGATGATGATTCTGAACACGCCTGCTTCTCCACATGGCAATACTACACAAGATGGGGAGCAGGCATTGTTAGATTAGATGATTTAAATAGCACTCCCCATGATTATAGTAGCGGTTGTGAGGATGAATCATTTGATGATGATTCTGAAGGTAATCTTGTCAGAAGGCAATCTCCATATCTAATCTTATACTCACTCTGTTTCATAATGTAAGACTTTCTAGCATTGTTCACATTCATATAGATGTTAATGAATCTAGACATATATATTTCAGATGGGAATGAGGTTTAATTAGGAGGTGGAGGCAGTTCAATTAAGAAATAATCAAGCATGACCTGGTACAAAATTGGTGCATAAAGCTCAAGAAGGATGATGGTAATAACTTTCGTCACACATGTCTAAGATCAACCGGAGCAACTGTCCATATATCCTACTTTCGTCAAATAACAATATTACAGAGTTCACAGGTGACCACTGATGTTGCAGTTATACATGTCCACCTATTTTGAAGAGGACTTTTACGGTACAATTGGATCATCACTTACACTGTACAATAAGCTCGTAGATGTAATTCATCAATCTCACGGGATATCTTGTAAGTTAAAGTTCATAAGTGCCGGGTTGTTTGATAATTCTACCCCTCAACTTAAATCTCTGCAAATTACCCAATCGATTGAAGTCATCAGGAATTTGTTGGACACGGCATTTCTGAGCATCTACAATTTGTAAATTCTGAAGTCGCCAAAAAGATTGAGGAAGCTCTTCGAAAGTACAATCGCTGATATTCAGGTACCGGAGAAGCTTCAGGTTGTCAATGTTCTCAGGCAGAGAGTTCACCTCACAGGACAGGAAACCCAGCATTCGTATTTTGGTAAGTTCTTCAAACCAGTACTTCGCTACAGCAGTAAGTATGTAAGTCTCAACACCATGGCACACAATGGAGCGCAGCGTTTTGTACTTGCATACCATTATTAGGTTGGTTTCACTGAGACTACTACTGCCAATTATTGAAAGATGGCGAACGCCTTGAGGGATTTTTGTCAGATCAGTTTCGCCTTTTACAATGAAGCACTCGTGCTCAGAAATCAGTTGTGCCATATCATGGATCAGCTTATGCATAACATACTTGGAATCCGTTGGGCTGTTTGATTCCTTCTGAAGAAGGGATCTATGCAGTAGATCCTCAAAATATTGGTATCCATTGCTTTCTAGCTTGCCACCCTTGCAGGACTCAACTAACCCAGCTGCTATCCAACTGTTCACCAGAGTATCTTTGTCAAACTGATGGTTTTTAGGATACATGGAGCAAAACAAAAAACAGTTTCTCAGATAGGAAGGTAGATACAGATAGCTCAAGCGAAGGACTGGCAAAATGTCATATTTCTCCTGTTTCAGCTCCCACAACTCACTTCCTGCAATCTGATTCCAGTGCTCTCTATCCAGCATAGGCTTCAGTAAACGTCCAAGAGTTTCAGCAGCTAAAGGACACCTCTTCAGCTGTGGAATTATCCTTTTCCCAATGGGGTTCAGTTCTGGATTAACACCGCAGCGATCTGAGCCAAATGCACACGCCTCAAAAAATTCATCGAAAATGGTAGGCGGCAGACCTTCCAGTCGGAAGTGCCTGTTTTCATTCACTAGATCCGCAACCCTTTGAGACCTTGTCGTCAACAGAATCGCACTCCCTTGTTGGGCAGACTTCAATGGCTCAAGGAAATTCTGCCATCTGTTGTCTTGATTAGCATATACATCGTCCCACACATCATCAAGAACAAGCAAGAACCTAAACTTGACAATGCTTTCAGTGAGACTCTGCTGGAGGTTACACAGATTATCAGACTGCATCCAATTCGCAAGAGCGAACTCTATGAACTCCTTAGTTAATCTCTTGACATTGAAATCATCCGAGACAGAAATCCAGATCCTGACATCAAAATACCCCTTGACCCTCTCATCATTGTAAACTTGCCGAGCCAAAGTAGTTTTCCCAACACCACCAATGCCAGATATCGCTAAGACAGTTACATTGTCAGATGCAATTTCCTGATTGCTGCATGATGTCCTGGTGGATGCAGAAGGGACACCGCTGTTCCGCTTGGTCCTCTTGCTAGCCGAAGCGGTTTCGCCTTTGATTCGCCGCTTGTGTGGCCGTGCCGAGCAGATCTTCACCCCGAGTAACTCGAGCAGCTCATTCACCTCATCCTCAAGGCTGCGGAACTTGGATTTGTCATAGAAAGAGGTCATGGCCGGCCTCAGCAGCTTGCCAATCTGATGCGGCTCGGAGCGAGCATGGCGGTCAATGACACCCTCAAGCGTGTTCCTCAGGCAGTTGAGATCATCCAGGATCTCCCTCACCGTGTTGCCACCGGCGATGCTCTGCAAGAAATCGTCCCCGGCCTTCTCCGCGGCGGCGTCCTGACCCAGATCCAGTTGGAGCTGCTGCTGGTGATGGTGGTGGTGATTGAACTCCTCGAGGAGGTCGTAGGCGTCGTGCACCCTGGCCTTGAGCTCGGGGAGGAGCTTGGCCACCTCCTTGTCGTCCTTGACGAAGCTGAGCCACTCGGCATGGTGGATCAGATCCGGGAGCTGGAGCATGCAGTAGTGGAGCTGCTTCATCTTCGCGTCCTGCCCTTTCCACTGCAGCTGCCTCCTCTCCGCCTCGTCCCCTTGCCGCCGACGCCTCCACCGGGATAGCAGCAACGACGCGGCGGAGAAGGCCGTGCCGAGGAACTCGAACCATTCGTTGGCGTTGGAGACGATGGACGTCGCCGACAGGAACAAATCCATGGCCGCCGGCCTCAGCATCGCCATGTAACTGCTAGCTTGAAACCACCAGACCTACCAGCATCAACAACTGGTTTCTTCTTCCACCACCGAAGCTGCAAGGCACCTTTGATTTTGCTCGAATCCCCCCCTGCTCTTTCCAAGCTTCCATTGTGCAAGCAAGATTATGGTGGGATTAGACACTTTTTGCGGCTTATTATACTCAGAAAATGTGAAAATTTTAATTCAACGCATTGCTAGGCGGTAAGCCGATTTGTAAGAGAAAAGTTCTTGGAAATTAATTACCTCTTTCGATCGGATACATCAGCTCGCCATAGAGGCCCATGCCCCCCTTGTGTTTAATGAGTTCATTCCGCAGTGATGAATCAGTAATAAGATGGAGTTGACCGCAGTTATGGAGTCCACCAGGGAAAGGGTGGAACAGAAGTGGACTACTACAGAATTTGTCTATTGCTGTGGTCCCTGAAGTAGGGGGTACTAGAAAACAACTAGAAGCTCGTGTACCTCCATATTGCTCCTTAATTGCCATCTCTTCGTATTATGTTTCCTATTATAGGTCACTTTTAATTTTACTTTTTATACTTAATTGTTTTAGTTTACAAATTATAGAAAATATAACAGCAATTCTAATATAAATAAATAAATGTATTATTACATATTAACTAGCATGGTGGCCCGCGCAGATTGCGCGGCTAGCATCATTATATTTTTCTCTCATATAATAGCATATATGTTTTCTCATTATATTATTAAAATATATTACAATGACAACATAATTTTAAATTTTGCAATAACTTTTCAAAACTACTAATGTGTAATAACTACTCTAGTCTCCTCTTATAATATTCCTTATTTTTTAATTCTGAATTTCAGCTATTTCTAAATTGTATTTCTATATGGACTCTAGTCTACTCTTCTAATATTCCTTATTTTTTTAATTCCGAATTTCAGCTATTTCTAAATTGTATTTCTATATGGACTCTAGTCTCCTCTTTTAATATTCCTTATTTTTTAATTTCGAACTTCAGCTATTTCTAAATTGTATTTCTATATGGACTCTGCCTTTTCTTTTTCTCCGATTAATGTGAGAATTTCTTGGTCATGAAAGCGAACGTGGAGGCTCCTTTTTTTTCGGAATTTTAGTTAGTTTTAAATTCCTATATGGACTCTATACTCTACTTCTAATATTTTTTATTTTTTAATTCCGAATTTCTATTTTTTTTCTTAATTGTATTTCTATATGGACTCTATACTCTATTTCTAATATTCCTTATTTTTAATTCAGAATTTCTATTATTTCCTAATTGTATTTCTATATGGACTCTATACTCTACTTCTAATATTCCATATTTTTAATTCCGAATTTCTATTATTTCCTAATTGTATTTCTATATGGACTCTATACTCCTCTTTTAATATTCCTTATTTTTTAATTCCGAATTTCAACTATTTCTAAAGTGTATTTCTATATGGACTCTAGTCTCTTCTTCTAATATTCCTTATTTTTTAATTTCGAATTTCAGCTATTTCTAAATTATATTTCTATATGGACTCTGTTTTTTCTTTTTCTCCGATTAATGTGAGAATTTCTAGGCCATGAGAGCGAACGTGGAGGCTCCTTTTTCTATTCCTTTAATTATATAATAGATTTGATGTGGTAGATGTTGCTAATTTTTTTACTATCAATTTGGTTAGATTTAAAGAAGTTCACCAAGAAAAAAAAGACTTATAATATAAAATGAAGCGAGTATTAAACTTGGCCTCGAGGTGGCCTATTTGGTAGAGCTTTAGCTCGAACTCATCTTTTTTAGAGTTATAGCTCAGCCAAACTTTGGAGCGAACGCCGGACATGACTACTATCATAATAAGTGATGAATATTTTTACCAAAATTCACATAAAAATAATAAATCATCGGTGACGCTAACACACGCGATGCGTTAACGTCACATCGAATGTATAGACACATGCATGGAGCATTAAATATAGATAAAAAAACAACTAATTGTACAGTTTGCATAGAAATCGCGAGACGAATCTTTTATGCCTAATTAGTCCATGATTAGCTATAAATGCTACAGTAACCCACATGTGTTAACGATAGATTAATTAGACTCAAAAGATTCGTCTCGTGGTTTCCATGCGAGTCATGAAATTAGTTTTTTCATTCGTGTCCAAAAACCCCTTCCGACACCTAGTCAAACGTCCGATGTGACACCTAAAAATTTTCTTTTTCGAACTAAATAAGGACCTACTTTTGACTTTTTGAGTCATACAGCTTCTTGGGCGAACTCCCGCGGCCGCATTGCGCATCGACGACCGTGCTGCTTCGCTAGGTGAGGTCCGAGGTGACCGGGTCAGGGACAGGGTTCATTATGTCGGTTTAGGGTTTTTGATCGGGGGTCAGCGAAATCCCAAAATTTTAGAAATTTCGGTCCGAAATTTTCGAAATTTGAATAAAATTTAGTTGAATTTGAACAAATATTACCCAAATTCATGGAAAATTTGAAAAATTCAAAAATATCGGCCGAATTAATATCGTATCGGAGAGGACCGAAATTTCGCCGAGTAGGCTTCGGTGGGCAGGTCGCCCATCACCGTTGCTGGGCAAGTGACGGCAGGTCGCCCATCGCCGAGCCGAGTTTTTTTTTTTAATGGTTCGATACCTCCAATTGATTCTATTCTAACCAACACGTTCTCTCCTTCATCTATTTCGATTCAGAACCACGCTGGAATTCAATAGCAATTCAGTAGGTGTAGTTTTTTTTGTTCTCTCTCTTTTTTTGCGATTCATCAGCAATTCAGCAGGAGTAGTTGCCTGTAATTGTAATTTGGATCGACGACAGTTCAGTATTTTGTCCCAATCGCGGTACCAGTACTAGTCAGTCCCCCACATAGCTAGAGATCTCCACAGCTCAAGTCAAGGTTGCGGCCTTCCCGATGGATGATAAGAACCAGGAAGGCGAACCCGTGCCGACGACGAAGCCGCAGGAGAGGCTGAGCAACAAGGAAGAATATGCCACCTCCACGGAGGCCGGCGGCGGCGGCAGCAGCCGATGGTCTCGTCAAGATCCGGTCGGAAATGGATGACGCCTTCCACGGTGCCACCATGAAGTAAGAGTAAGAGTAAGAGAGCTATCGATATTTTTATACTTCCATAGATGTTATGTGTGTTCGATGCTCACACAGAGCAAAGTAAGAAAGCTTTTTTTGCCAACAATGAAAGTAAAAACTCACAACATTATAAATATCTAAGGAGTAGTTTAATAAAATCTAAAAATAATTTAAATATATAATAAAAGTAATTTATGACATATATTTTAGTTAGAATATAATCATGTGAGATCTTGTTATAAAGATTTAGTTACAATGAATACAATAATATAAGTGGATTATATATCAGATAAATAATTTTTTTAAAAAAATCATTTGAAGCATGGTTATTAGAGATCTTTCTTTACTATTACATTCTTGGATATCCCCTCCTGGAAAAGAGATACTCTCTTCGTTTCAGGTCATGAGACGTTTTGATTTTGATTAAAGTCAAATTACTTTAAATATGACAAAGTTTATAGAAAAATATAATAATATTTATAATACGAAATTAGTTTTATTAAATCAATAATTGAATATATTTTCACAATAAATTTGTTTTGAGTTAAAAATATTATTATTTTTTTTACAAACTTAATCAAACTTGAAGCAGTTTGATTTTGACCAAAGTCAACACGTTAGCTGAAACGGAGGGAGTACACGCTGATATTGATTAGGACTAAGTATTATACAAGCACTCTCTTCACTCGTAGTATTAATTCTTCCATCCAAACTCCTAATCCCACGCACACAAGTTGCCAAAGAAGCGGTCTGGTATAGTATATTGAACCACAGGGAGAGTCCCGAAAATGCTTTAAGCCGGACGTCCGGCGTTTGGAAAAAAATCGGCCTACCATCGCTTCTATCCACTCGTTCTCTTTCAACTCCACCAACCACCAGCCACATGTTATCCTTATCCCTTCAACTTCCCAATTTCTCTCTCTCTCTCCCCCAACTTCCTACCTTCTCTCTCCGTACAACCTCACTATTGACGGAGAAGATACGACGACGACCTCACCGGCGGCGGCATCCCCCACAACGAGCTTCGAGGTTACGGAGGAGGTACGATGACCTCGGCGGCGGCGGCGTTCGTCGACCTCGCTAGTGGTGGGCATCCCCGACGACAAGCTTCGAGGATACAGAGAAGGTAAGATGACCTCGCCGCCTCCGACGTCCCCCACGGCGAGCGTCGAGTCTGTGGAAGGAGGTACGACGACGACGACCTTACCAGCAACGACGTCTCCCTGATTAGCGTGGAGACTGTGGGAGGAGGCGTCGTCCCCATCCACCAAGGAGCTCACCGAGCTTGGCCACCATGTCCTCTTGAAAGCTTCGCCATCGTCTCCTCCTAGGCATGTGTTGTTGCTCCGTGCTCAGGGCTCAACTCTCGGTTTGTTGCAGTTTGGTGTGTATGTTTGTTGCACTTTGATTATTTGGGTGTTTCATTATCTTTTGGTTAGATGTTGCATAAGATGTGCAATGTTTTTTCTTTGATGTTCCACACAACAGGCTCTCGATGTTGCAATTAGTTTTTTTTCCAATGTCGCATGTGTGTGAAACATTTTTTACTACACAATGAAACATTTTTCACTGAGTAATGAAATGTCTGAAACAATTTTTATTGAAACATTATATTCTGAGTGATGAAACATTTGCAACATTTTTTTATGAGGTGAAACACCGTCCGGAAATTGGCCAGGGATAGGACGTCCGATCCTAGTCCTCTCCGGAGAGTCCTGTGTACACGCCAGGTGGGACCAAACCGTTTAACGTCCTCCGTGGTGCGGTGGGGCCCAGCGCCAGTGGCCAATCCCTTTTCACTCCTGCGACTAATCAGCGATATGTAGTTTGTGGCTCAGTTCGGCACAGGTTTCAACACAAACAGTAAGCATGGAAAACATAGCGGTCTATTAGCGAATGATTAATTAAATATTAGCTAATTTTTTTAAAAAAAATAGGTTAATTTGATTTTTTAAGTACCGTTTGTATAGATACTTTTTTTTGAAAAAACAGTTTAGCAGTTTGAAAAATGTGCGCGTGGAAAACGAAGGAGGGGTTGGAAAAGAAGTCACAAACACACCCCAAGCTTCTTCTCCTTCCCCTTTTCTCCCTCCCTCCCTTCTCCGCGATGAAACATGGGATCATCTTTTTGAGTCGGTGAGCGAGCGATTCAGGTGGTGGTTGGGGGAGTTGCACCGGTGGGGGTGATGGATTCTGGTAATATTGGAGGGAGTCTCCAGTCGTCGAGCGGCGGCGACGACGAGTTCGATTCGCGGGGAGGTGGTGGTGGGGTGGAGGGGGCGGGGGCGGCAGTGGCCGCGGCGCCGGCGACGGCGAGGAGGTCGAGGAAGCGGACGAGGGCGTCGTGGCGGACGGTGACCACCGACCCCTCCAACTTCCGCGCCATGGTGCAGGAGTTCACCGGGATCCCCTCGCCGCCGTTCGTCGCGGGCGTCGGGGCACCCGCCGCCTCGCTCCGCACGCGCTTCGACCACCTCTTCCCCTCGCCGGCGTCCGCCCTCCGCTCCGCCGCCGCCGGCGATCCGGCATCCTCGCTGCCGCCGTACCTCCTCCGCCCCATCGCGCAGAAGCTCCCCACGGCTTCGGCGCAGAACAGCACCATGCAGCAGACTCGTGATCCCAGCGCACTTCCGCATTCATCCAGCTTCGTCACATGGACGCCGGACGAATTTCATTCACCCGGTTTCAACTCATCGAAACAGGATGAACGGTTTGTGCTCGAGAACACTCTCCGTGGTATGTACGAACTTATTAAGCTCGCGGAGTGTTGGGTTCGCAAGGATTATTCCATTGCTAATCTCCTCCAAGAAGCCAAGGATACAGTGTACTGTGCTGAAGATCTCTTGGACGAGCTCAATTACTATGAGCTCCAGGACGGAGTTGGGTTCAGTGCGAATAGATCTTCATGCCCAGAGTTTTCTGACATCAAGATGACGGAAATCCATGGAAAGCTCAATTCTCTCAAAGAACAAATGGGGCATTTGGGCTTGCATGACATGCAACCACAGCATTTTATTTTTGAATCGGTCAGCCAGAAATACGGCAATCTCATGTACGACAGAACAAACTTTGGCTATCAGGAAGAGTTGCAGGTGTTGATTGATTCATTTATTTTGGACAAGAACAGTCTGACCAGCGAGCAAGTCTCTGAGGTGCCCAGCAGTGGTCGAGCTGGACAGAAGAATCTGTCCGTTTTGACAATAGTAGGAGATGGTGGTATCGGGAAGACTGCCCTGGCTCATTGTTCTTTCAATGATCAGAAAGTTCAGGATCATTTTGATCTTCTTGTTTGGATATGTGTCTCAGATGGCTTTGATGACAAGAAGCTGATTAAGAGGTTAGCATGGGCTATTGCCGAAAGCGAAATGAAATCTGATGATCTAATTTGTCTCCAGAGAGTTCTAACTAATGGCATGATTCATCACTCAAGGAGGCTGTTGCTTGTGCTTGATGATTTGCAGGAGGATGTATGCCAAGAATATTACCTTGGATGGGAAAGGTTTCTTGCCCCCCTAAAATGTGCCAGTCCAGGAAGTATGGTTTTGGTGACCACAAGATCGATGAAGGTTGCTGAACATATTAGTTCAGTCTGCTTGCAATTGGAAGGTTTACCCAATGAAATTAATTGGCATTTGTTTAGCATGCATGCATTTGATTTACCGATTTCTGACAGTGATCAAGAGGTTGAGTGTATTGGCAGAAAAATAGCTGCAAGGCTAAATGGTTCTCCTCTTGGTGCTAAAATTGTTGGATGTCTACTGAACTTGAAACTGGATGCTGTATACTGGAAGAGTATATTGGAAAGTGAGTTGTGGGAGTTGGGCCATCACAAGGAAACCAGAATCTGGCCAGCCCTTCACTTGAGCTACCAATATCTCCCCTTCCATTTGAAACGATGCTTCTCCTTCTGTTCTATGTACCCCAAGAGTCATGAATTTGATGCAGAGACACTTGTGGATAGCTGGGTAGCAGTGGGATTAGTTGTGTCCAATGGAAGCGTGCCTGCTGTAGATATCGGCCATGAGTACTTTGATCAGCTTGTGAGACGATCCTTCTTTCAGATATCTCCAACATCTTCCAGTTCTCGGCATGCATATGTCATGCAAGGTTTGCTGTATGAAACTGCGCAGAAAATTTCAACAAACGAATGCTTTGTGATTAAAGACAGCAGTGACTTGTTGAGAATACCTCCCAAAGTTCGTCATGTGTCAATACTCCACTTTAGTGGTCTTAGTAGCAGCGATTTAGAAAGCCTGCACAAGTACAAGACATTGCGGTCAGTTGTTTGCATTAGCATTGACTCTGATGTCATTACTACTTCTGTACTTGAAACATGGTTCTGTCATCTCACTAACATCCGGATGCTGAGGTTCATATCATGCCGGCTGAAGGAGCTACTGGGGAATGTTGGTAACCTGATACTTCTTCGCTATCTCGACATTTCCTCCTGTGACTTCGAGGCACTTCCTGATTCTTTTTGGCGTCTTCGTAATCTGGAAATCCTGGATGCTCAAAACTGCAGATTTGATAGTGTTCCCAAGGACATTGTCAAGCTCGTGAAATTGAGGAAGGCTAGACTGAGGAGTGATCTTAACAACCAGCTCGGACATGTGCCTGGAGTAGGCAATCTTATCTATCTTCAAGATATGCCTTACTATGCTGTTGATGATACACCAGGAAGGGGAATTCAAGAGCTGAAGAACCTGAACAATCTCCGAGGTGCACTAGAGATCAGTGGCCTTCACAATGTCACAAGCAAGGAGCAAGCAGTTGAGGCTGATCTAGACAAGAAAACCCATCTCAACACATTGACTCTTTCATGGCATGACTCGATCAGGCCTGACAAACACAACGGCGAACAGGAGATGGAGGTGCTCGAAAGCCTACGCCCTAGCCCCAGCATCAAGAATCTGGAAGTGAGGTTCTACATGGGCTCCGGATTTCATCCAAGTTGGCTCCTCGACGATGAGCCAATCAGTAGCAGGTTGGAATCGCTCTCGATCAGCTCCTGCCCTAACATAGCGAGCCTGTTCATCACCGTGACGGGGAGCAGCAGCAGAGGCAGCTCACCTGTAGTGTTCAGATCACTCACCAAGCTGAGCGTCACCTGGTGCAGAAAGCTAATGAGCCTCGACAATCTCCTGCAGCCAGAGCTTCTACCTGAAATCAAGGTGATACGGATCTCCAACTGCGAGGAGTTAGCATCATTGCCGACGAATCAGCTCATCAAATTCACTCACCTGGAGGATCTGGAGGTGTCCCACTGCTGGAGCCTGAGCTGGGAGCAAGGCCTGACCCTGCCCAGATCCCTGAAATCGCTCAAGCTGGAAGCTTGCGGAGAGCTCACGGATTCAGTTCTCCGATGCGGCCTGCGTGAACTCCCTGTGCTCGTGAGCTTGGAGTTGCAGTTTTGCTCCGGGGTGGAGTGCATCGGCGGTGAGATATGGAGCGAAATGCCGTCTCTCCAGAGGCTGAAGATCTTCTGCTGCCAGGAGCTGAGCTCCATCGGAGGAGAAGAATCCATTGCTAGGGTGGAGAGTGTTGATATCAGGCATTGCCCAAAGCTGAGAGAGCTGGAGCAGCCGTTTCAGAGAGGCTAACTGAACTGTCATCTGCTGCTGCCTGCTGTTGCCACGACCCAAAATGTCTGTAAATGTACACTGCTGTTAACCCTGCTGCAATGTACCAATGGATCGTGTTTTTGTCTAGACAAAACAATTTGAGTCTGTAGTCTCCCCTTGTAATGTAGGAGTATGTATGTATGTATGTTCTGTTATTACCAAGAGTATATGTATGTTCTGTAATTGACAAGAGCTGACGATTTGTACCAACTGTAATAAAAATCAGGCAATGATGTACTTCGGCTTTGCGATGGACACCTCCAATTCTTATCACATCTCTAGCAGAATCGCCGAAACAAAAGGCATCTGGTCTTTTATTGAGTTGCCGCAGATCCAAACGCCAAGACGAAATCAGAGGAGAGCAAGAAGCACCAGCACTGTTGTCCCCCACACACATGAATAATGACGCCAAGATCACAATAGGGGTTTAACTGTTCAAGACGCAGGAAAAGATTAAACCAACATTCAACTGGACCACCACCAATCACCGCAACCAACAGCCAATTAAGTACAAGGGTTGAATCATTTGAGATTCATGGGCAGCTAGATTGTTCCTCTGTTTCCTCAGGACTACAACAAGGAGGGTTTCTATTTGTTTGGCAGTTCAACCTCGTGGGTGTCTAGTCCCTGCACGAGGAAATGGAAGCAGGAATGCAGGTACACAAAATGTTTCACCCTACCGCCTTTGTACGGGCTTGTACAGCACAACAGTCACAAACTTTGCCCTGAACCGATGGGTAATCCCCAGGGCGACGACGGATCTAGAGTTCTCTTTCTCTATGTAGAGGTGGTTGAGTACCACGTTTTGAGGTGGAGGAAGGCTGCTTGAATCATCTTGGCTTGGTGGGAAGCTCAATAATGTATGCTGCAGATGAGGAGGAACCAATGGGGGCTCTCGAGCTTCATCTTCATTTCCAGGAACAGGGTTGTTGTAGCTTGAATCTGGTGATGTTGGCACTTCAAACCCAACAACGTTGATCCCTTCCTACATTATTGAAATCCATCATAACAATGAATGCAATCAAGACTTTCTTTAAAGAACATAGGAACACATTCCAATATATCTTACATGGTCACCCCTGACTTGCCGGTCCATAGCAATTAGCAAAGCACTCTGTTGCCTATCCTGGTTTGAAAAAAAAAAACTCAAGTGAGTAAAGAATCAGAATAATATGTGTACACTTGGGAAGTTGAAAATAAAATTAAGAGCAAACATTAATTTCTTATAAGAATCATATACTCTCTAATAAACATCACATCAAATTTACATAATGCCTGTCTTCACTCCATGCAAAAGACAGTTTGGAAGTTTGGTCGAACCAAATGGGTCAGAGATATGAATCACTAGCAACACCTTCAGTACGGAAGAGCTCTACAGCATTTGGTGTCATCAGAAAGGAGAAAGTAAAATTGAATTCAAAGTTTCAAACAGTTGCAATGTTTTCTCAATGACCAATTTCAACCCAAAACTGCTCCCTCAGAAAAAGATTATACTAGCTAAATTTTTCGTTCAAATACACATAACCAAGAGAAGCAACTCGCTCTGTAATTAACAGTCACCACTTAAACTGAACTAATACAGACAAAAGATGAAAATCTGGTTGTTGCTAAAAAATGACATAATAAATTGAAGTAAAGCCTTATCAGCACATACAAGTATTTGAAACAAAAAAAATGAAATGAAGTAACCAAACTTTAATGGATAAACAGAGACATAGTAATCAGTACATCATCATGGTAGACCGTAAGAGCCCACTAATCCAAAATCCAGGTACCATGCTTAAGTATTACCCTCCATCCCCAAATTTAAGCATTTTTAGCTATGAATCTGGACATGTGCTTGTCTAGATTCATAGCCGGAAGTTGTTATATTTGGGACGGAGGTAGTTGAATAAAGCTTACATGATCCACAGTTCTTAAGTGGTGATTAATATATAGAAATTTATGCACTAAGGAAAACTTCATATGCAGTGACTATACAAAAAGTCAGTAGCAGAATGTCATGCTATGGCCCATGAGGTGGTGCATAAATGGCAGGGCCAGCAGCGTAGATGATTGCTAAAGGACTATGTTGTGTAGTTGCATCCAAGCATATCTGTTGGGAGCATTTAGACAATCCTTTAATTTTCCATTGTTAGGGGCCTCATAAAGAGAAATCATTTCCTATACATGGTAAGAAATCAAGGATAAACAAAATTCCCTTGTAAATTGATCCAGTTCCAATGCAGAGGAGGAAATAAGCAAGAATTCAATCAACCTCATCTGGTGATCCCCAACATGTTCTTATATCTCTTCCATCATATCCCCTCCCTCAAATTCAACACTGCTGCCTGAATCATCAATGTTCACAGCAGTGCATGCCTGCCTTATACCATAACAATCTGCCTTCTCAAACTACTCTCCTCCTCTCCTAAGCGAGATCAGTGTGAAGAGATACCGAAAACTGATGTCTGTTATTGGTACGGAATCCCTAATTTGTTTTTATTCATTTGACTTTGATCTAGTTTGGTAAATCTGGTTTTGCTATGTGTTTATTAAATGCGCCCTTCCATTTATTCGTTTCCTTTTGCTGGCACCCCATGAACGTAATTCATCAATACCATCCTTGGCTGTGCATGATAGCTGCATAGGCCTCTTGCATAAAAATGGGCCAATATGGAGTGAACTTGAGGCTTAGCTTGCTCTGAATCTTGAGTTTTGGAGTTTAGTGATGAAGTAGAGGTTAGAGCTTTGGTACGGTTAGGGATGCCTTTCTTCCAAGTATAGGGGTAACTGGTAAGCGTTGGAAGAAGACAGAATATAGGAAAGTGTCATTTTGTTTGCGGGATATGGATAATAACGTAAGGCAACACGTTATTTAGTTTGGGGACTATGGGTAAAGATTTTGGTGGGATCACTGCATGGAATTCATTTATTACGACGTGACGTGTGGGATTGGGCCCTTGAATTGGCGTGTGTGAGCATATTGACAAATATGTACAGGTTTAGTTGTGACATGCAGTTATCGTTAGGAAATTGGGTCTTAAATCTGTACATTTCTTTGACTTTAGTCATATATTTTGTATATGATAAGAACACAAATAATTCAAAAATTCAAGTACTCCACCACAGCCAACTATAAATCCCAAGCACAAAAATAGCACGAGATAGTCTTCCTTCCATGTAAAGTGTAGCATCTAATAATAGGTACAGATCTAAAATAAGCTAAATCATATAGTTCTTCAAGCATTTCAGAGCAAATTGAAGTACACGCAAATCCGCACAGAAGTAAACTGCTCATGTCCATCTCAGTAACTACAATTCCAGCAGCTACATTTCCCAACTACCCAGATTGATCATCAAAAGCCACAAATAATCAGGTGGGACTAGTCTTTCACTCACCTTAGGATGGAGAGATTGATGAAGCAAACCACGCAAAGGCCACCCGAAGACTGCTTCCTCAGCCACCTGCGACCAAAACTAAAAATCAACAGATAAAAGTGAGCTTGCCGCACACACAGAGGCTCCATTTCGAAAGGCGAAATCACAGGGCGAGCGAGGCAAAGGGGGAAGGAGGCGCGGCATGGGGGCGGCCGATAGCGGGGATTTCTGGTAGAGGAGGAGCAGCAGCTGCTGCTGCGGAGACCTAGGGTAGGGCGGCGGAGAGCTAGGGTTCGGTTCGGGGGGGCGGCAGATGAGAAGACGACCACTACCGAAGCGGCGGAGTCCGGCGGCGGCCATAGGGGAGGCACGAGGAGGAGAGCACGGCGGCGGGGCGGCGATCTAGGGTTTGTCAGCGGGCGGAGCCGCAGAGGGCCGAGGGGGGCGGAGGCGGCGGCGGCTGGGAACGGGAGGGATGCGAAGCGGAAGGAGGAGATGGGAGGGGGGGGAGGAAGGGAGGATGGATGGCGGCGGCGGGCGGCGGCGGGGGGAGTGGTGAGCTCACCTGGTTGGCGGCGGGCGTCGCGCGTGGTGAGGAGGCGGAGGAGGACGACGACGAGGAGGAGAATTGGGGGTGGCTTGGGTACTTCCATCCGATTTACCGTCGTTTATTACAAAGAGTGGTATTTAAGCTTAAGCTCAGGTAAGGTGAGGCTTTTCGGTTAGTGTTAAGTCTGTGTTCTTCTCTTTCTTTTCAAACCCACCTCTCTTTTTTTAACCACGTATATTTTTTAAATTAATAAACGGTATATTTTCTAAAAATATTTTATAGAAAGATCGCTAAAATAATCGTATTAATCTTTTATTAAGTATTTTTAGTTAATACTTAATTAATTACGTATTATTAATAAGTAATACCGTTTTTGTGCGAGAAGATGGAGTTCCTAACTCCACCTGCTGAACTCAGCATGAGTTAAGCTCGCAAGTCACAACATAAGAGCGCAAGTTTACGGTAGAGGTGATTGCTACATCTAATATTATTCACATTATCAATTAATTAATTGGAAAGCAATTTATGCTACGCATTGCCTCTAATTTACTAACCCCAATACATAAGTATTTATTTTATTCGCTCTCATCCAATCAACATCAAGATAATAAGTATCAAGATAGTAGGTAGGATTGTTCTTTGATTTATAGTATCATAGTATCGGTATTACTATACATAACTTTTATATAAAATATATAATATTTTGTATAAATTAAAGCATATAATATCAATTCTGATAAATTTAATTGGTTTTATGTAAACTTCAGTATTATTTTCAATCTGTCTTATTTTAAATAATATTTGGTAGGTTCACAAGGATCGTAGTATCGGGCTGCTACCTAAAATTTTGTATGATCGTATAAAAATGAATAATAAGATTGAGATATTATGAAAATTAGGATACTACGTAGGATCGATATTGTTTCAGCTTGATAGGATTGTAGTATCACAGAATACTAAGATATAGATCAGGATACTGACAACTTTGATCAACATCACTATTTTCCATTTCTTCCTTAAAGTTTGTGAAAAGAGTATGGCTGTGTTCGATTAAGCTACATATTACAGCTGTTGGGCTGCTGTTGGCTGTATCAACAGTCCGAACACACCCTCTCTCTTGCATGAGGGGTGGCTCATCCTCTCTGTTCTCTCCTCCACCTCACCATTCAAGCTTAGGTAGGAGTATCATCTAGGTGTTTATACTTAGATGTTTTATAGTACATAATCTTAGTAGGCATGTTCCGCGAAGCCGGACTCTAGTTCTTTACCTGCAGGAACTAAGCAACAGCTGGCTTGTTGCAGCCAAATAGACCCAATATTTATTTGAAACATTAGAAAATCAGTGCGTCAATTGGCACGCCTATATTTTATATCCCGTTTATGTTGTTTAATTAATTTTTTACATTTCGGTATTGTAGATGGCCAAATAAGTTTATTTTCTCGTATCAAATAATGAATATAAGAAAGTGATACTACAATAACAAATGTTGAATATTAGTCATCAAAGAGAGATAAAATCATTTTTAATAAAGAAGACTAACCAACTAAATAATTGGTGGATTTATTATCCTAATGTGTGACCTAGTTTTGAGTCGAAATGCAAGACTTTTTTCTAAATAAAACCGTTGTCGTTTTGAACATAATTAATTAAATAAAGGGTACGTAATCACAATCACGGTATTTTTTAAAGTTGTTTCTGTTGGTGTGAGCATTGCGTAACCCGTGTGTTCTATTTAGAGTTAATTTACAACATATAAATTTTAAATTTTAAATATAATATTTTTTTCATCTCTAAATTTTTTTTCTTTAATCATTACAATTATCATCAATTGGAAGAGGGCAAATTTCTCTAATTTCAAGGTGTCCATTACTCTGCCCAATCGAGAAGCTGGAGGTGCTTTCTTTTCTCTAATTTTTATCTCTTATACTTCCTCCGTTTCACAATGTAAATCATTCAAGCATTTCTCATATTTATATTGATGCTAATGAATCTAGATAGATATATATGTCTAGATGCATTAATACCAATATGAATATGGGAAATACTAGAATGACTTACATTGTGAAACGGAAGGATTATAATTTATAGATTTATCTTACAAAGTATAGCACTGTCACTTGGACCAATATAGGCTTGCAGTTCCAGTGCCAGCTTTAGAACTATTGATGATTGATAGATTGATTAGAATAAAATATTCGTATAGAAATTTTAGTGTAAATACGGTAGAAAAAGAAGTGACATAACTGGTAAACGATTACCTTTTAGTGATTACTATATTTATTTATTTATTTTGTTTTCACGGGTTTTACTTTTGGTATTATCGACACTGACTCATGATCAACGATGTCTTTTCACTTCATCACTATCACTATGCGGTCAACCTTTGGTTCTCTCGTTATTTTCCCTAGCTCTCGTGCATGTAGCCGATGTTCTAATACAACAAGGTATGAGTGTATGACATCGGTTTCTTTTGAGGATGTTTTATAATTAAAGTATAACTAGATGAAAGTATTTTCATAAAAAATATCTGTTGGCGTCATTTTTCATATACCATGTCTTGATACTTTTATACTCCGTATTTACTAGTGAGTTACTGTTTAGATTTTTATCTTAAGCATTCTACCACTACTTGTTCTAGATAAGAGTGAGTATTATAGGCGCTAGTCTAATTATTCAAATTGAAAGGGTGGGATATAATACACATCCTCTACGGTATATAGTATGTATTAAGTGTAACCGATACGTGGACGGCACTTTTCTTTAGTCCCACATGTCAGTGTCATAGAGTGCAACATGAAATCTGTTTTTTAAAGAAGAGAATCTTGCTCTAAAAGAGTGAGCTTGCAAGTTAGGAAGGTGGCTCCACGATTCTTTCCACCTTTTAGATAGATTAGGAGCTTGCCTTTCTATAGCGGTGCCAACAATGATTATCAATTTGTCATGTTCCAATAGCAACCACACAATCTCTACTTAAATAATTGGTAGCTATGTTGCCATTCATACTCTATCCCTTTCAAAATAACTCAACCAAGAATGGATATGGCTCATCATAATACAATAAATATGGATAAAGACTTGTTGCATTGTAGATTGAGTTATTTTGAGACAGAGGAAGTAGACATGAGGTAGAGATGAAATCCTGTAAAAGAATGTATGTAGAAGAGGAAAAGAATAAGAAATATTAGCAGACCATCCAAGAAAATTCCAATAAAAAATCACCATGCAAAATAGAAGGAAATTCCCAATACAAGTCTTATGTCCAATGATCTAGATATGCAGTCCGGCCCATTTCAAATGTCTTAAGGTGTTTGAAGTATGGGCTTAACACTCCACTTATATACTTCCATGCATACCTATTAACCATCTCTGTTATTTGAGAATTGCGTATATAGTAGTAATAAGGTGTCCATTTTTCACTTTTAGATAATTTTGCTTGTGGTGTTTTAATAAGTTTCTGAGTAGGGATAAAAACAGAGCTGATAGTTTTCATCCACTCTAGACAAAAACAAATACGTATATAGTTTGGAGTAGATAGTTCTCGGATAATACGGATATGGATACGCATATGAATATTTTTTTTCCTGGATATGAATACGAATATTATATTGGAGTTTCCGACGGATACGAACAATAATACAAATATCCTATGAACAATGCTATTCGGATATCAGCTGAAGGTATAAAACACAACCTATTTCTTTCTAACTCTAGACCTTCAACCTACCTCTTTAGATTTTAATAGTAATCCATATCACAACCATAGTTCCCGCTATTAATATTATTTAAACTTTTAAATATTTTTATAAATTACATTGTATGTTATATGTTATAATATCGACTAGACATGCATTTTGTACCAGTATAATGATGTACATGTTGAAGTTAATTGATATGTTTTTAGTTTACAATGAAACTTTTTTGTGTAAAACGAGCTAATTGTGTGTGATAGTATTTGTCTCTATTAGAAGTTTAGGTCTTTTTTATTGCGAGAAATATTTGTTTCAGTATTCCTGTCTGACTATATTTGTCGAAATAATTGTTATTTGTTTATGTATCCGAGCTATTTGTATTTGTCTTATATCCGGCTAAAGGTAAAAAAATAAATATAGTATGAGCACTTTCTGTCTGTATGAGCTCTATTTTCATCCCTATTTCTGAGATGAGGTATGTTTTGTACTAGTAGATCATAAGCCAATACAAAGACAATAAGATTTGTCATAATTGTAGTGTAGCTGAATGGCAGAATAGCTAAATGATTTTGTGTTCACTCCTTAATTAGAATATAAATGAACTACTATAAAGTTGAAAATAGGCTTTTAAAGAAAACCATATTTATAAAAGTTTTACGAAAACCGCGCCGTTTATAAACTTGGGAAGCGTATCACATTAACCCGCCATTTTATTCATTACTTCCTCGGTTTCACAATGTAAGTCATTCTAGTATTTCCTACATTCATATTGATATTAATGGATCTAGACATATACGTTTCACAATGTAAGTCATTCTTACATTTCCCACGTTCATATTGATGTTAATGAATCTAGATAGATATATATATATGTCTAGATCCATTAATATCAATATGAATATGGGAAATACTAGAATGACTTACGTTGTGAAACGGAGTGAGTAGAATGCATGGTTTAAGCACCTTGCTGACACAAACTTAAACAAATGAATAGTACAGTAAAAAGCGTAATAAAGGTTTTGCCAATAGCTAAAACCTCTGTTATAATTAAGTAGTAATTAATTATTCAGTTTTCGTCGCAGAGGCCATACCAACGTGGCAGGTTTAGTTAGTGGCGCAAGTATTTGTTTCAGCTTCTCATTCGACTTCATCTCCGGCAGTCAATTGTGGAGTATCAATTCTGCACTTCTAGTCGAATGTGCAAGCATGTGATGCATGCTTTGATTATTCCATGGAAGCTTCGCCAAAAATAACTTTTGCTTTGTGAAACACGGTCTATTCGTGTCGACACCAACATTCGTCCGAAAAGCTTTTTGTTTTCTTTCAGAAATTAGAGAAAGCGAGGGAAAAGAGTTTCAGCTTAAAATTATCCATCTTTAAAACTGCATTAAAGCATGCAGAGACAGGAAATTCTGCTTTTCAAAGCATTGTAGAGCTGTGATTATTTGACCGGATCTTTTTAATACTCCCTATCGGCCGATAGACTACCGTTTACTGATTTTTGCTATTTATCTGTCTTGTTTACGCCTTTAAACTAAAAAATTAGACATGCACTGAAGTAAAGCAAATCTTTCAGGCCATGTGTTTTCCATCAACACTAATACAATACATGCACTCAATACATGCACCCAATAAAATTAAAGATCTTGGGAGTGCAGGATATAGAAAATCATAATTTAGGGAGGATAAGGTGCTAATTAATTGTATTAATGTATACACGTATTATATTATGAAACAACTTTAAAAAGTAGTTATTTTATATATTTTAGAATGGAGAAAGTAGTTTAAAGCTTAATTAATCATCTGTTTGTTTGCTGATTTGTTAGTCGCAACTAAACTTTCAATTTTAAATTTTAATTTAGAGTTCATTTGAACGATTTTGTTCATTGTAGTTCATTTTTCATCATTATCTTTTAAATCTTAATTTAAAAACATATATAATAAAAGTTTCACTCATAAATAATTAATTGTTACTTTGTTCCTTTTTCACAACTTATCAGCCATAGAGCTAATAAGAGGCTTAGTTTAGGGCACAAGTAAGCTTAAGACTACAACGCAATCCATCATTTTGGGCCGCCAATTTTGTAAAAGTGGATTATTCCCCGTGTAAGAAATGAGAGGGGAGAATTAGACCGATCCCTTGTCTATAAAATTTGGTGGGGTTCAATTACATATATTGATATTTACAATTAATCCTCCTATCTCCTTCCTCAATCCCTAAGGGAAATGGATTAACCGAACAAATCCCAATATTGGGGATAGTTGTGACGAGTGTTCAGATGATTGGAAATAAGGAGGTAAAAGTGTATGTGCTTGCCACTAGTTGGTATTAGTGCAGCGACAATGTAGACATAAGGGGGTCTTAAGCTTTTTAAATAAACCTTATACATTATGATAGGAGACATTTGGTTGAGCTAGCCATATGTATAAAGGCCACTCACAAGGAATAAAAAAAATCTATCACGCCTTCCTCTCCCATAATAGTGCGACTTTCTCTCCATCTCTCAACGGCTAGTCTTGGGTTCATGAGGTCTACCTTAATACCCTTTAATATCCTCTCTTGTACATGACTTCAGTGGGACCTATATTATAAGTAGTCAACATTAATTGAGCATGCCCTTAAGGGCTTATTTGATATGGGGACTAATGTTTTTTTAACAGCCAATCAACTGACGTTTTATTAATAGAAGGGAGTTTAAGTATACACAGCCAAAGGCCAAAAGAAAAGGAAAATTGTACATACTTGAGTTCAAACAAACTTGCAAGTCAACTCTCCTTACACCTCACGGCAACATTCTCTCAATGTGTTTTGCGTCGGCTAGCCCCTGCGATTGATTCTTTGTTACACTGACGCCTCTTTCCCTCTAAAGATTCTCACATTCCTTCCCCCCAGATTTCCCAAGCAATGAGCAAGAAGACTAATTTGAGCTCTTTGTGATTTGCTGCTTCCGGGTTGCTTATTCCTTGTGTCTATCAATCCAATAGGTTAGTACTGTTGTTCCACCTCGAGATGATATGTCCTTGGCCTAACCACATGAGTACGCCAAACCAGATTTGCTTAAAGATCGGCATTCAAACAATAAGTGGTTGACGGTTTCTAGGTTTCATAAGCATAGCTGGCCGAAGTAATTATTTGGCCACCCCCTAGCTTGCAATTGGTCGACTGTCCACATCCGATTTTGCAGCACAAGCCAACTAGAGACGTTGCATTTTACCAAGGCCCACGCTTCCTAGGTCAACTTTGTTGATGGCGAGATTACCATTCTGTTGAATTGGAATTGATAAGAGGATTTTGCACTAAACTCCCCATTGGTTGTCCATCGCCAAACGATCGAGTCTTGCACTCCGTCTGTCAGTTGTGGGGGTACTTGTGCTAGAACCCCCAAATGTGGAAGAATTCAGTGAGAAGGGCGATCGTGAGGCTGTGGCGGATGTCGCTGATCCATCTTCCTTGCCGCATGGCTTCCTGAACTGTGCGGTTCTTTCTCTTGGAGTGCCTGTAAAGATTTGGCACTTGGCTTTTTAGGATTTGGCCAGCAATCCAATTTGATTCCCAGAAGCTCGCCTTTCGTCCATCACCAATAAGGACTTTGGTTGATGCTGCAAACATGTCATTATCCAGTTCATCGCAAGATGTTTCGGTTTCTATTGAAGGTTTGTTTGGTGCCCTTCATTCATACCAGAGCCACCTCAGCCATAGGGCTCTACCAATTTTTTTCTAAATTGGAAAATCCAAGGCCGTCATAATGAACAGGAGAGCAAACCTTGGGCCAATTGACCTTGCATTTGCCTCCATGCATGTTCTCATTTCCAACCCATAGGAAGCGTCGCCTCGTTTTGTCAATTTCTTGAAGGGATTGTTTTTGTTGTTTCATTATTGTGATAATGTATGTCGGGATGGCACTTACAACTTTGTTCATCATAATTCCCCCCCCCCCAACCCCGCATGCATACAAACAGTGATGGCTCCAATCCCGAGAGACAACCCTTTATCTTATCATGGATGGGCTGAAAATGCACCTTGCACAGGCGGCCTGGGATGAGTGGCAGTAAATCAACGGGAAGTTTGCTCTTGTCCTAGAGAAATCTGGGGACTAATGTTGCTATGTGCGATGATCAATTTCTATCTTGGTCACAAGTGTGACAAGATTTGGCGAGAAATGGAGTGTACACATAAGAACTAGTGAAGTACTGGCACATCATCATAATTATAAGAGCTAACCGGTTAACAAAGCGTGACACGTCTAAGGTTTAGAATGATAACTGTAGCCGCCAACCAATCAAACGTACCTTTAATTAACTTGCTTATTCTAATTGCTATTACCAAAAGGCAATGGCCGGACAGAAGAAATCCAGCTGCACCACCAAGTACAAGCATATCATGTATTTTATTAACTCAACCATATGTCTCATAACAGCACACAACTCCATATATATATGTATATTGTAATCTAATCTACCAACCTAATTAAACTATATATACGGAGTAGTATAAATAAAGCTATATGGGCTAAGATTCCAATGCACATGCGACAAGAGACCAAAACCGCAGAAAAATCCCTCCTTTCTACTCTCATCTTAAAATATAAGAATCTATGACTAGATGTGATATTTTCTAATACTATGAATCTAGACAACTATCCAGATTCTAGATTCTTTTATATTTTGGGATGGAGGGAGTACAATCTCTCATATCTGCACATACATTTCGTACATTCATCTGAACTCTGAAGAGATTACACTAATATTCAGTTACAGTAATTCACATGATGGAGCAGGCGTTGGGGTTCTCGTCGCTGAACATGGTGGTGAGGCGCTCCTCCGGCGCGGCGGCAGCGGCGGCGGAGCCGTAGCTGGCGACGGGCATGACGGCGTCGACGCGGCGGACGTGGCCGGGGGGAGCCCTCTTGTCGTAGGCCGGGGCGGCGTAGGGGTGGGCGACGAGGGTGTAGGGCACGTAGGGCCAGATCTCCGCCTTCTTCCCCGTCGCCTGCACCCGCTTCACCACCTTGTGCGGCTCCACGAACCCCTGCACCGTCACCTTGTACTGCTTCCTGTTTATCTCCACCGACTGCACCCCTGCATCCATCCAAATCCAAACAAGAATTCAGTTGTCAGTCATGCATGATCGATGAATTGTTCCAAGAACTGCAGAAATTTGATGCTTCTGGCATGAATTCAGAGAGATTTTGGTCGTATGTTTGTTTGTATTAACAAGGATTCTTCACAGATATTAAGTAGCGACATCATTGCAGCCATGCATGAATGATTCCAAGAACTGTAGAAACTGAACTTTCTGGCATGAATTCAGAGAGATTTTGGTCGTATGTTTGTGTGTATTAACCAAAATCATTTCACAGAGATTAAGTAATGCCATCATTTCAGTTCGGCCATGCATGATGAATGGTTCCAAGAACTGTAGAAATTGATGTTTGTGGCATGAATTCAGGGAGATTTTGGTGGTGTGTTTGATTGTGTTTATACCTTTCATGCAGTAGAAATTTGATTTTTCTGGCATGATTTCAGAGATATTTTTGGTCGTATGTTTGTGCGTATTAACCAGAATTGTTCACAGAATGGCATCATTTCAGTTCAGCCATGAATGAAATGATTCCAAGAACTGTAGAAATTGATCTTTCTAGTGAGAGTTGAGAGAGATCTTGGTTGTGTTTATACCTTTCATGCTGGAGAGGGCGTTCCTGACTTTGAGCTCGCAGCCGTCGCAGTCCATCCTCACCTTGAGCTCCACCGTCTGGAACTGCTTCCTCTTCTTGTACCTCCGACGGCTGCTGCTCCCGCCGCCGCCGAGAAGATCAGACAGGTAATCCATGGTGCCTCCCATTGTTGTTACAGTTTCTGAAGTTCTCAAACTCACCGAACCCAACCAGTTGGTTTACCCAAGAAACCAAGAAAAGAACAGGGCAAGAACACTTCACCTACTAATGATCGATCAACCTGTTCTTTTCTCGTGCAATGGCCAGTCACTAGCTAAGCTCACAGATTGACAGTCACACTCAGAGCAGAGAGGCAATAATCGAGACAGATTGATTGCAACTTTGGAATGGACCTGAACTCTGAACCTTACAAGAGTTGGTGCCTGTATATATAGATAGGGGAGTAGTGAGTACAAGCTAGCTAAGCTGCTTGCAGCCAGTGAGAAAATGTGGCAGCACAGCTAAGCCAAACCGTGTGCAGTTTGCTGCAAGAAGTTTCCCCTGAGATACCTTGCCCCCTGCAACAACCCCTTTCTGCTGAATTCACCTCTCAACCGACTTCAGATATTAGACATGGAAAGGTATGTAGTAGGGCAGGATAGCTATCAGCCAACCCCACAGATGAAGAGGCTTTTGCTGTGGCCGGCCATTGTCAGCAGTAAAAGTTTTATCCCCCCTGTGCTAAGCAAAAGGAAACTGCAGGAGGGACACCAGGGAGGAAAGGAAGATGTACTTGTGTTCCTTGTGCTGGGCTACCTTTTTGGTTCATAATTTGATTATTCTTTCCTTTCTGAATCTGCAATATAAATTTAATAGTGATATATTGTGATACTAGTTAAGAAAATATAAGCCGAATAATATTTGCGCAAACAGCGTGAGTTATTGAACCGAACAAAATTGTTCAGGATTTGATCCACCTCTTTGAACGGAACACTATATCAAGATTAATTTTCAGAGAATTTTACTAGGTAAATACTGCGAATATTGCGCAAAATTGGCGCGATCCTCATGATTGCATTGGCTCCCACTCTCAACTGGTTTCAGTTTCTGAAAGGCCACTACAACCTGGGCATGAATTCTGCACAACTGAAAACATGGGGTCATGCATTTGCTGTGTGCTGGGTGTGAATGATGGTGGTGCCTTTGTGCTTCAGTTGTAAGTAAGCTGTCAACAGGAAGAACAAACAGAAACAGGTATAGTGGGGTTCTACTAAGGGACAGGTAAGCAAGGAGCAGCCCAATCAGAGGCTGCCAACTGCTTCATGGTGATTGCTGAGCTGTCGTTTTGCTCCCTCATTGGGTAGCCAAGGCCCCAGTTTTCAGGTCTCAAAATATTGTGTGATTTGGCTCTGAATTGTAGTTCCTCTCTGCTCCTTACATCTGGCCCTGAAAACACTCAGAGATTCTGCAAGAAATCTGTGTTTGGCAACACATGGAGTATACAGCCAGAGGAGGTGATGATTGATTGGCAAATGACAATGTTTATGGAAGACAAATATACAGTCAGTTCTTCCATCTTGTCTGGTTGTGATAAATTTGCATGCTATCCTGCTTGCAGTCCACTCATTACATGTATTAAAAAGTACTATTATATTATAATTCACATAAATATATGCATGGTTTTGGCATGGGTTATGATTTTATCAGTCGAAGAAATCTGTGTGAAGAATCCGGGAGAACCACACAAGTAAGACTCCCTTTTCACCTAAACACGCCACTATAATCTTGATCACTTTATAAGATCCGTGCATATTTTTCAAAATCAGTTCACTATTGTAAGATCATAAAACATATTTATACTTTGATTTTTTTTAAGCAATAGAGCACTAAAAAAAAGCTATACCACCATATATATTATATAAATTGTGCATGTCTCTAACTCGTGTGTTTTCCACGCTAATCATTGGAACTTAACCGAAAGCAAGGACAAAATTAATCTTTTTAAGCTAGTGAAAGCTACTCTGTTTTACCTTACATTGAAAAGTGAACTTTTTACACTACTTTGCAAAGTAAAATGGTATGTGAAAAGGACTAGCCACTTATGTGAAACATGGTAGTAATTTCTTCACTTTGAAGGTGTTGCCTAACCTCTTTAGACCCCAGCCGGCCAGTCTTCTTTTAATAAATTTGTTTCCATTTTATTTGGAGAAATAGTGTGCCTTTATTCTTTTAAGTGGATACCAATTTGTTTGATCAGAAATTAATGGACACCAATTCAACACAATTTGATAAAGTAGCACTAAGATATGGAATTATTGAAGGTATATGCACACATCAATTGTGCAATTGCACAGAGCAGCTAGCCTAGAGCTAAAATCTACATGATTTGAACTTAAATACAATATCTGCTTCACTAAAGGTTGTGCTAAGCAAGATTTATATCATATTATTGTAACCCTGCTAATTATCAACTCATGATCAATTTGCTGAGAGTGATTAATCTATGGAGCTCGAGTATCTTGGGGTTAGGGATGCAAGTAGGATGGGCAAGCATGATTTTTTTACCCGCTTATCTCACTTCTAGTTCATTTTCTCTTCGAAAATTTATACTACCATATAGGAAATGAAACTAGCAGCGGGGTTTTGTGTGGGTAGTGGGATTACTCACTAGCAATGTCGGAGCGTGCTGGTATTTGTTATGGTCACAGATAAGTCCGCAATTGCACGGATACTATTATAGAACTTCACTTTGGAGTATTTTAAGGATATCAAATCACAAGAAATATGTATGTACATCTAGAAAAAGGATTCAACTAAGGACAACAATAAATGGTAGGCTTAGGCTAGAGGATTCCTATGAGTTAATTAACTACTCTCTCCGTCCCAAAATATAAGCATTTTTAGAATAGTGAGAAGTCAAATATTTTCAACTTTGACTATTACTTCCTCCATTTCAAAATATAAGGCACAACCACTCTTAACCCAAAGACCAAGAAATAATTATTATCACCTCATAGTTTGGATTACCCTAATAAATATAATACATGCACCCAATAAAATTAGAGATCTTGATGGTGGAGAATTTAAATAATAATATTTGAATGGAAAATATGTGCTAGTTAATGACATGCATGCATGCACGCCTTATATTATGAAACAACTTTAAAAAGTAGTTATGCCTTGTATTATGGAATGGAGGGAGTAATAACAAGAAAATAAAAAAGATCAATCGTGCAAAATTGATGTTACTAGATTTATCATTAAAAAAACTATCATAATATATAACTCTTTTTATTTAAAATATCTTACTTTTATAGATATTGTTGGTCAAAGTAGCATCTCGGAGACCGTTTCAGAATCCAAAAATGCTTAAATTTTGGGGCGGAGGGAGTATACTTAAGTTAAAGGTAAAACTCTATCGATTGCTTCGGATACCAGCTCTCCCAGCTATGTCTATCCAGCTGAGTTCGACCTGTAGCTCTATGATGTACCCATACGTGGAGGGATACGAAGGACGGACTGAACTGTCACCACCTGTCGCCTACCTCACTTTCTATGGAGCACACAACAAACGAAGGCAACCTCTAACCTAAACACCACGTCTACGTTATCGATTACTACTCTAGCCTCGGCCAAAAAAATTTCTTCTTTATCCAGAGTCTTAGTATTAGAGCACTCAATATAAATATTAAGCGACGAACCCACAACGATGACAATACATCTCACTTAAGTAAGTTAATTAAATACCAGAAGGGAATCTCAAATACTTACTTATATTGAAGAAGCATCAGCCGAGGTACAAACGAGGAGAGAGGGCCAACAACTCCGGCGCTCCTCCAGGACTCTCTTGAAGATAGGCCAACATCTGTAGAACATCCCAGACAGAAAACCAACATTTGGGAACCACACATAACTTCCATTGGGACTTTAGGATCTTGCTCCACATATCAGCAGATGGCGAGAGGAAGGAAAGGCAGTTCGGCCGACCTAGTGGTTCAACCGACTCCTTTGGCCCACCTCTTGACCTCCCTTCTACTGGGGGGCTGCCTGGTGGGCCCTTTGCATATTGTATCTTGGTTGGGTTCAATTGTTGGTGGTTTTGATTGACATGTGGGTCCTCTAATTTGTGTATTCGTGTCCGACTATCCGGAGGTGTATTTCGTCGTATGGCGGATGGTTTTCGTCCATAATTCACCTGCATACAAATATTCACCAAGATTTGTGAAAATAGTTAGTAATAACCACTACCTCTAAGTTTGGTATTCCACTTTATATTCTTTCATTTGTTTTTATGCATGAATTGACGGTCGGATTTGGTACTTAAGGACCGTCAACAGAATGCCTCCCCTCCAGTGGCACGACACAATTTTGGCTGAAATTTTCAAAAATTTCCTTTTTTTGTGAATTTAATCAAAATTTCTTCATTTTTTTTTAAAAAAAGAATTAATGAAATTGCAAACCATGCTTATCACACAACAACAATGAAAGCCATATCTGAACTAGTAGTCCAGTAGGTAACTTTCATTTCATGAATATACAAATGCAAAATTACATAATTAAATAAGTTTGAACCATATATATGTGACAAACAGAGAAAAGTTTCAAAATGGCTATTAACATGCATGCTTGACCGTATTCTTGTTAGTTTAGAGGAATTACTATATATCTATAAAATCCACAGATAACTTAAATGAAACAAAGTCATGTCATGTGATTGACACATGATCAAAGTAGCACTAATTCCTATTCGATGTAAATAAAAACTTTATGAAGAATTGATCCTTTTTTTTCTGAAGAAAGATGATAGATCATACTAGACAGGAAGAGTGGGAAAATTATTTTAACAATCAATCCGGCCAATTGAATTTAGAATCAATGGATAGTCTCCGCAATGGCAGACATTTTAAAAAAATGGAACATATATATTCATACTTTCACGATCAAGACGACCAATGGAATTCCGAATCAACATGAATTGCGAGCCTCGACAATATCAGTGTGGATATTATGGGTACCCCATACCCATACGGCATGGTTATCCGACTAGTCATAGGGGATAACTTATATCTATGGAATATGTAACAGATCATGACTTGGGTATTACGTTTCCCTGTATATTATGGAACGGCCTAAAGTCCTGGTTTGATAAGATTGTAAAGTAGATTTAGGAAACCGATACCGTATTGGTTAAGGTTTCTATCTTGTAACCCTGCCCCCCAACCTATATAAGGAGGGCAGGGAGCCCCCTCTAGGGGCATGACACAACCTGATCGTCAGATCAATACACACTCGGCGGATTCAAATCCCCAAACAGGAGTAGGGTATTACCTCTCATTGAGAGGGCCTGAACCTGTCTAAATCCTTTGTCTCTGCATCCATCCACTTTTAGGTCTCGTGCGCTACCCCCTTTTATTATTGCCGAAATCATGTTTCGATAGTTGGCGCGCCAGGTAGGGGTTGCGTCGAGTTTCCTA